AAGAGTATGGAATTAAAAGAAAGAATAACAAATTAAATCATCCAATAAAAATCACAAAGAAATTCTTGCATAATTTAAAACCCCTGGATTTTTACATAATCACTCTACAGGTATTTATCTAAAGTATTATTTAGTCTCTAGTTATTCAATTCTAGTTATATCCTAATAGATCATATTGGAAGCAAAGGGAACGAATATCTTGTTTAGTGAATTTATAAATTATTAAGGGAAAGATTTAAAACCCTTGTTTAAATCTAAAGGAAGTTGCTTTTTAGTAGACTTAAAGTAACAATGAATTTGATTATTATCAACAACAATACAATTAAAATTACAATCAATTTTTTAATACATTTCCGCTTTTCATCTGCATTTCTTTAGATAGATAAGTATTTTTTTTACAAAGTTTAATTTCAGTGTAAATAATAATTTAAAGTAAATTAAAAGTAATTAACACACAACGTTATTTTTTTACCTCATTAGGTATATTATGATAGGTTTATTCAATTTATTATTATTTTTAAAAGGGATTGGTATTAAAAGTTAAATTTAATATTAGTGGTTTTTAGTTCATCAAAAGTAGATTAATTGTATTAGAAATCTATAGATAAAAACTGAATAGAAAAAGTAGAAAATCAATGATATTTATAATTATGTCTCAGTATATGTAGGGTCATCATAAAAATATTAAAATTCATTTACAATAACTGATTATACTTGAAGATTTTTAATTATAACTTTAAGATATTACTAAAAAATAATATATTATACTCAAAATTTTTTACTCATTATAAGACTCATAAATTAACGGAATTACTTTATGCATTTTTAGAAACATACTATATTCAACCAAATATTTTTTAATTATATTTACATTTCTCTATTTTTAATGAAGGAAATTTAGTAATCATTTTCTAATTCTGAAATATATACAATATATAAAATAAATTGCAAGATTTATTTTTAAGAACACCAAGAAATAAAACAAATATTTGAAAATTATTGATAAGTTCAATTTGATTGATAGGAAAAATTGATTACACAACTATAAAATAACTTGTACTATTTAATTTTTAAGACTTATGTTTGTTTTGAAAATTATATTCCATCGTTGGTTAAATACTTAAATAGTTTTTAATCGCCACCATCATTGAAAAATATAAGAAAAATGTTTAGATTTTTATGTAATTTCATTTATCTCCCAACTTGAAAGTGATAATAACAATAAATGTGATTTTAGTTTCAGATATGTTAGAAAAATTGAGATTAATTATAATAAATTTTAATAATATTATAATCCAATTTATTTCTTTGTTGAATTATTAAATTATCTTTATAAATCCAAATTAATTTCAATACAATATTACAATTATATATTATTTGAGATATTCAAATATTATAGAATTATTTTTTTATCTTTTTGCGGTAGATTGCGGTGAAGGCCTTTATGGCCATAAGTGATTCTTTCTTAAGGGCATCAAGTTCTAATGTGATAAGGGAAATCCCCTTCTAACCAAAGTAAGGAGAAGAAATAGTGATAAGGGCAAGAAACTGCTTCGGTATTTAGAGTGCTGGACTCATTTTCTATTACGTTTGATCCAGTGTATCTCTCCACTTATGAGCAGGTATATATTTTTATTAATTTGAATCTTTTTTGATTATGAATTCAAAAGAGAATCTGCTGAAACTGTTATGAATTTCCATAAATTCATTTAATTTTAACTTCATTAAGCAATTAAATTACCTTTCAATCTTTTATAGATGTCTGTTTAATAAAAGTTTAATTTATTTAGTTAAGACAAGAGGGGATGATTTATAAAGAAATTGGCCAAATAAACTCATTTCTCGATCATCACATATCCTAAAGCAATTAAGCCTGAAAATTTTTTGGTGATGCATAAATCTAATAGAAATTGCTTCTAAGAGTTAATTTTATATTGAACAACACTACTAAAACATATTTATGTGTAAAGTTTTTGGATCTTAATTCTTTATAGATGAATTTCAAGAAATTCTTTCTTATCCCTATTTTAATGAACTGTTGATTTCTTAATAGAGATTCTTTCCAACAATAAACCATTACTCTAAATTTTACTATGGATTACAATGTATGAATAAAATTATTTTATTTTTGTGAAAGTATGATTGCAATATCTACTAAAATTTGATTAGCTCTCAATTCTTTCTAAGTATATTAAAAAATATCTCATTTCCCCCACTTCAAACTTTGGAGTGAAAACCTAAGGAATATCTAAGATTTACACATGGTTCATCTTAATTGTATTATTATTTGAATATATATATATTTCCAATAATTATTTTTTCAATATCTTCTGAGTTAATCTTAAATTCTTGAGAATCAACTCCTCTAATTCCCTATCAATAACTTTAAAAATTTTTTTCTCTGGATAATTTTTTAAAGTTCGGTTATCCTATTTATAAACTTAAACGATAGTTGCTTATTAATGATGATATTTTAATTGTATCTAAGTCAGAATGAAAATTATTGAAAAGTAATCATTTGGTAAACATATTCCTTTATTATAAATTCATAAATTAGCATCAAAACAATTTCAGAAAATTTGAAAGTATGCTGTTTTAACATAAAATTTTTTCATTAATCTCAACTAATCAATTAGAAATAATATCTCTAATAAATACAACTTTTAATATTTGCAATTAAATAGATGGCCAAAATTACTAAAAGATGATTATATGTTAAATTTGAGAAAAATTTCATCCTTATATTAAGATTTAAAGTATTTTATTGTAATACAAATTATTTCTTATTGGTCTTCTTTGAATATTATTTTAATTTTCAATAATCAAAGCCAACCTTTTGTAAGTTTGCTTAAAATAATTTAGACATTTATTTTTATAAGTCATATTCAATAAGCATATTAATTTTTTTTTTTAAATAGGGACTTGAAACCATGAAAATTTTAACTAGTAAGTTCGACTTTAAGATATCTTTTATAGATTAAATTTTTCGGTTGGATAATATTAATTTTTAAGAAAGAAGGTTTGCTACCTTAATTAATTTTTTTAATTTCATAAAGACTGTGGAATCTTTCTTTTCTTCTATCTACATTTTCTTTAAGTAAATTAGACGCTCTTTTCTATCCAATAATTAATTTAATTAAAAATTTAGACTTAGTATACTTTTAATCATAAAATTATTATAGATAATTAAATTATACACATTAAATCTGTTATGGCGTAAAAAGAGATTAAACTTTTTTATTTCAAATAGATCTATTTTAAGTTAGTTGAGCATATATGTCTTATATAAATAATTTTTATGAAGCATCATAAAATATTTTTCTGGTTAAGATAATCATAAACTTTAATATTAAACCTTTATTCTCATTTTGTTTCATTTTAAAATCTTGTAGGTTGATTGCATTCAAATTAATAAAATTTTCTTATTTTTTTTATAAATTTCAAATATAATAAATTAAATTATTTTATGCTTAAAAAGAGCTGATTAATTCAATAAATTTTCATATTTGATTTTGATGAATCAAGTCATGATTAGTGAAAGATGATCTTATTTTATTTAAATATGAATTACTAAGTTAAAAATGCTTGTAATTTATTTTTAATAGAAAAGTATGATTCAAATAAATGACATTTGATATTATTCAAAAAAAGAAAAATATACCATATAAAGCTTCAAATAGAATTAAAAATAGAAGAATTAGATTTTTGATTTAATAAATTTAGTTTAAAAATATTTATTACTTTGAAGTATCATACGATGAAATCAGGAATTATGATTTTGAAACTATAGGTTTTGAACTTATTAAGAGTTTATCAAGTTAGAATAATGTCTTACATTAAATCTCATATATAAAGTTATAGAAATACTTAATGATTAATTAAATAATAGTTATTCTTATGGAGAATGATTTTGAGTTATTTTTATAAATAAAATATATCAGATTTTGAAAATATATTAGAATTGGAATATAATAAATCTCAAGATTTAATTCTTTTTGATGATTTTACTCGCAGTATATAACTTTAATTAATTATTCATTTATTTTGTAATCTATTATCTGAGTTGATTATTAATTTGAGATACAAATATATTATTTAATTAGATATTTTTAATAAACAGCATAAGATTTATTAGGAAATTTTAGAGATATTATAATACTATAGAAAAATTATAGTTTTGGAAAGGTTTTATTATTTTATTTATGTAAATTGTTTAAATGAATGATGCTTTTATGGTTTTTGGAAAAGTAATAAAATTTATAATCAATTTTAGAATTAATTCTCTTTGTTAAAGATGGTAATATATTATATATTGATATTGTATGTAATATTAAAATGATTTCTTAAAAAAATTTATGTGATATATTTTAGTGATAGATTATTCCAGATTTATTAAGCAATTTATTCACTTTGTTACATTTCAACCACAATTTAAGAATTTAATAAAATAGCAAATTTATAATTTTATTTAGATTCCGAATTACATAGTATAATGATATTTTTAATGATAACTGCCTTAACGATGAGATTCTATTTAATCAATTATATTGAATTAAAAATACTAATTCTTAAAAGTTAATCACTAAAGAGCAAAATATAATTTAATCATAAATGATTTAATTTTCATAGATTTATTCTGAACTCCAATTATAGCATAAAAAAATCTTCTATCACTAGATAACAAATAAATTCTACATATTAAAAATCTTTACAATTAAATAATTTGCTTAGTACTTTTGACATAAATATAATTAAGAAATCAATTGAGGTGGAAATTTAAAGTAGCAGAGTTTATGACTTAGAATAGTTTCTTGTTAAAAATAATTGAGTTGAAAGAAAAACTCTTAGTAAATTAAAAATATAATATCAGTATCCAAAGTAATTAAGCAGATCAAAAAATACAAATTTATTAATTTAAATTGATTTAACTTAAAAATACTTTTATTTATATTTTAATATAATATTTTCGAAAAGTATTCTTAATCAAATTCAATTAATTCAAATATATATATTTAAATTAATTATTAATGCTTCACATTAGTTTAAAAGTGCTTCTTTATAAATTTTAAATGAAAAAAATGTTATCTATTTTCAGAATTCTGTGAATCTCCTAATTTGAATTTACTTTGATTTATTTATTATCCAAGTAACCAAATACTCTCCATGATTACTCATAATTCCCTATAAAGAACTAATTCCAAAATGAATAGATTATTCAGTTAGAAACCCTCTAGTTTATTTTTCTTTATTGGCATATTCTCCATTCTTACTTATAAGAATACATTTTTAATTTATATATTGATAAGGAAATAATACATAACTTTCTAATCCACTTTTATGGGGATATATATCTCTCTTCTTGATAATTTATTCATTGTTATTATTCATCTCAAAAACAGATATCTATCTATTGGTTAAAATGTGAACATATTATTATCAATAAATCATATTCGATATCCAATCTATTCAATTTTAATCTTTTATATTCCTTTCCATTCTTTTCTGATTATTCTATTATTAATATATATTAATCATGTCCACATGATACAAGTCGACTTAATTATTAATTCAAACTCAATCCATATAAAGATTTAGAATGATCTTTTAAGGTTTATTAACACTACCATTCTTTCCAATTAACCAAAAATTAATAGTTCAATCTCTGCTCCCTGATACTATTCGATCTTCATCAGTATTTATTAATAAAAATTAGACACAATTGTTATGTTCATTTAATATTTATTTACAACTTCATTAATTATTTTAATTATATTTCTTTATTATTAAATTATCGTAAGTTTCAAATATAAACTATTTAGATTTCTGCATAAAGTTTAATTTTGATCTTATCTTACGTTAATTTAAAGTTTAAATTTTTGATCATTCCTGAGTTTAACTCAAATAATTTAATTATTTAAGTAAATCCAGCCGCCAACCTTAAACAATCTTATTCAATAGTTATTGGACAACATTACTAAGTTTATGAAATTGGAAAATCTTGGATTAGTTAATAATTAAAAGGTTTGGTATTTGATTAATGACTATTTTAAATATCCTATGATGTTCAAATACTCATTTCAGTTTTCACTTATTGGATTTCTTAATCATTTTGATAAATATGGAATAATTATTATTAATCACTTTGAGTAAATTTTTAAGAACTTAATTCTAAAATTGACAACATTTACTTACATCTAATATATTCATCAAATTAATTAAATTATTCCAATTTAGGGTAAAATATTGAAATCTGAGAGATTGATTTTCTAAATCTTTTGTATATATGAGTTGGGATCAATTTAATGGGACTTCTAAACCATAATTTCTAATTCCTTAAAAAATCTATATTGACTACATTATGATATTTGTTATTATAGATTCTGAATCCATCCATAATTATAGTAGTCAATTAGTTTAATTCTTAGATAATATGTGATTTCATTTGATCAACTAAACTTTGTCAATATTTAATTAATTTTAATTAATTATGGTACTTTCCACTTTTTCCATCTTCTTTACTTAATTTTATTAAATTAATGAAATAATTTTATTCAATACAACAGCTTTGCTATTTATGTCTGTACTTTCTGAAAATTTTGTGCACAGGAGTCTATAATCTCTTGATAATTTTAAATCAAGGGCTATTGTAACGACTGGAAGCTTATGTTCTTAGAGCAGCAAAAATCTTTTACATTTTCTATCATTCTTGGTTTTAACATTTTATTTTATTAAGAATTAATTTATATTCAAGGTTTATTTTGTACCCATCTTCAAAATTGTGTTTTAGACTTATATTATGTAATTTGAGTGAAAGAAATAATAATTGAACAAAATATAACTTTACAATATCTTCCACAAAAGGAGATGAACTTAATTATAAATAGCATAAATTCTAAATCTTTTTCAAAGAAACAGATGAACATCAATGTAATAAAATATCATTGTGTTTTTCATCTTCTCCAATTAAAAATAGTTATATTATTTTATATAATATTCATTTTTTTCATTAATTTATTTTTCAGCCCTCCTAAATTTTTTTTGAAGAATATCCTTTCAAATTCTAAACATTTTTTAATTGATCAATAATATCTCTGAATATCTTACATTAGACCCTCATATTCTTTGAACACAATTCCTTCTGATTAATTAGTATTAATAAATCATACACTTGCATTAAATTAAATAGGATAAAATCAAACTGGATTTTGAATATTTCATGTACTAACGACATCTCCCCTTTTTTGTAAGTTAGAATATTTCCTTATTTAGGTGTGAATCAATTAAGGATAATTTTTTGAACAATAATAATAACACTTATGATGGCCATTTATTATTACAATTTTTACAACTCTCTAGAAACTTCAAATAAATATTGATTTTGTAGAATTATTAATATTTTTTTCTATTCTGAATTCACTTCATATTTTTGTATCCTTATTTAGACAACCTTAGGATAAATAACTATCACTGCATAACATCTTTGTATTATCCAAGTTTTGATCTTTCAAAATACGACCCAGAATTTAGGGTTTAGTTTCTACAAACCCTATTTCAAAATGTTTAACTGCATGCTGAATGAATCTACATCAGAATTGCATGCCTCAACACAGAATTCTTATTCATTTCACATCGCTTTCTGCCCATATCTAATATATCTATCAGTAAGATAGATCTGTAAAGGCCAAAGAAAAAGTGAATATGACTTTCATTAGTATAAACATGATTGTATTAATACCGGATAACTACATCAGCATGCTTAATAAATGTAAAATATAAGTACTTACAATCTAAATTTAAATGGCTTCTCAGAATCGCTATCTCTTTTAATTCAAAATTAATTTAATATGACATATACACAGTTTTTTAACACTAATAAAAGATTGTATTTGATAGCTATTTCCTGGATTTATTAGTAAAGGTTCCTGCAACTTTAATTTAATTACAAAACTAGATCTTTCAAGCATTTTTTTATGGTTATCAATATTGTAACGATTTCTTTATTCCTGTCTTCACATTAACATTGTCTAAATTAAATGATTCCATCATCAGGCACTTAATATTAAATCTCTAATACTCAGGTCTTCATTTTATTGAAAAAAATTGCGATCTATTTTGTTTTACCCAATTAAATATTGTCATTTGAAGACCTGGATACTGAATTTTCATAACCATTTTCTAACATTTATTCTCAGAATATCTATCATATTTTAGCTATTTTTTGTGATTGTGTTTGTATTAGGTTTAAGTTGAGGAGCTCAAGGATTATTCGGATTTGGTAGCCCAATATTGTGAGAATATAGGGGCGTCTGTCCGGCTCAGGACGAATTATAATGTTTACCAGTGCATCAGTCTGTTTACAAAAGGGGGTATCCCACTACCGTAGTCATACATGGATATCAACCTAACACTTTAAGGGGCTCTCTAAACTCCAAGCATCGACTTCGAGTTCAGATTCTTAAACTTCACTTCGTTTACTGACCGTAGATGCCATGTATAGATATCAATTTAAATAAATTTTTGGTTAAACATGCTTTTTTTTATTTGGATTTTTTACTGATGTTGCTATCCATTTCTTCTTTATAATTCCATCTTAATATTGTTAGAATTTCAATCACCAATAAACATCAATATCATCCACTAAGGAACTAGCCTCGACTTAATCTATGGTTCTAACTCTTATTTTTGTTAGGCTCGCTTGTTAAGGGTTTTATTGGTAGTTCCTATGCTTTGATCCTCTACTATGTTATTTTAGAAATCAAATATTGTAAGAAATAATGGTATCTCAAACTTATTAGAAATAGCAACAATTAATTTTTTTAATAATAAATTGCAATCAAATTAACTTCATTCCATAATTATTAATTGATATTATACAAAATAAGATTAATAAATTTAGGCTTATGAGAATTTTACAAAATTTATTAAATTTCAAAGTATTAACATGTTAAATTGGTTTTCTAATTTAACTATATCTACAGTGTGAAGCTTTACATGTTTACGATGGATTATAAATAGTAATATTCAAAATATTAGTATAAATATAAAATAATCAAATTTAATAACATTCAATTCATTTCTCTTCTTCATGTAAAGATTTAAATCACTAGATTTAAATTTGATTATGCAATATGATTTTCAATTATAACACAATAATTAATGTATAATAGATATCTATTCCAAAAAAAAATTACCAGATTTACATATAACATAATTTTTATTTTTATTTTTTTCTACTTAATCAATTTTAATTTTTATAATGGAACTTCTTAATTTTCAATTTAATCCAAGTTAAATTTTTATACAAAATTTAAAAGTCGTGTAAATAAAGGCAATATTTTTAAAAGTAAATTCCAGCTTGATTTCACTTAACTTTAATATTTTTGTTTTGTCTTGTATTAAATTTGGAAAAACTTTTATTTCATAATTATATATAATATATGTATATGTGTATCTTCTTTTTCTATTAAAATATAAAGTTTTTATTAAAATTTTTTATTAATTTTTTATTAAACTTCTCGATATTGATTTTCTAAGGATAGATTTATTTAAAATTAATTCTATAAATTATATCTAGTTATCCTAATTATTGAATCTTCATTAAGTTCTACTATTTCTCTTTAACTTTTATTGTTGATTCTGAAGAGAAAAGTTAGTCATGGATATTACTTAACCTCATTAATATCAGTATCATTTTTAATTCAAATAATTCTACTTGAGGAGGGTATTATAATAAGATAAATGTAGAATTAGTATATTTTTCTTAAAAAATAAATAATAGCACAATCATTTTTTAGTTCATTGACTTATTAATTTAATCGTCCTTCTCAAGACTTCAAAATCCACCCAAAATTAATTTATTACTTTTAAATTACTTAAATTTATTTCTAATTGATTATCTGATAATCATTTTATATCAAAATAATTTTCCTTTGATAATGCTCTTAATCAATTCAAAATCTAAGATTTAATTTTTATAAGATAAGTCCTTAAACTAATTTTATTATTGATGTGAAATAATCAATATTAAAAATATTGCGAAAATTACAATAGTTACTATTTAGAAGAAATTATAAATTCAAAATTACTTTATATTATGTAATTAATACAAAATAAAAAATTAAATGCACCAAATATCTGAGCTGTTAGAAAGATCAAATTTCAGAATTCCTCCAATTAAAATTTTCTTTCTATAGCTTATCTCTATATTTCAAGGATATTAATATATATTTAAAATAGTGTTTATAAATAAGAAAATATCTTATTTATATATTAATTAATATAATAAATATAATAAAATGAATATTTTACAATAAAAATAAAATTAAGAGGTTTAAGAGACAATATGTAAGATTCATAATTTAGAATTGATTGCAGTTGATTTGGATATTAGCGATAAATAATAAATAAAATTTTTTTGTGGTAAATGTTTAGTTGATAAATTAAATAATAATAAAGTGACAACTATTGAGTAATCAAAAGAAAGAATCTAATAAATTAAGATTTAATAATAAGAAATAAAGACTAAAGAGAATTAAACAAGACTGAATTATTATAAAAATATTTTAGATTAAATTATGGATTTTAAAAGATCAATAGATGATTCTTTAGAAAAGATGTATAAATAAATTTAATAATATATGTTTCCAATTTAAAAGGAGAAATAAGAATTATAAGAAAACTAATATCAATTGAATTATTTTGAAGATCTTAAATAATTATCAGAATTATATTCATAAGATTAATAGAAATCAATTAAATTAATTGAAGATAATACTTTTATAGATTAATTAACAAGATAATTTGAATTATTATTTAATAATGCTGAATATTTTTAGACTTTAGATATATTTAAAAATACAAAATAAATAATATAAGATATAATAGAAAATAATATAATTGAATTACAACCATTATAATAAACAAAAAATGAATTTGTAAATAATTATTATTTAAATTAGAAAAAACCAAGTTTAAAAAGAATTTGTATAAATCATAAAAAAGAAATTATTATGATTGATATAGATACTTAAAATAAGGAAATAGAAGATAGATTTGTTTGTGTTGATTGTATATCTTAAAATCCATAAATTAAATATGAAACAATTGAAAATATTAATAAATTATGGATAAATTATAATTCAGAATCATAAAATATATTATTATAATATAAAAAAGAAACTAAAAATAAAAGATATGATTTATTTAATTAAATTACTTAAATGAGAAAAAATTATAATTAAAAATTAAATGAGATTAGTGATAAATTAATCTTAGAATAATAATAATAATAATATATAACTAATTAAACTAAAGAATCAAATTAAATAAAAAAGATATCAATATAATCTTTAGATAATGTATAATTATTAAAAGATTTAAAATAAATAATTTAAAAAGAAAAAGTGACTTAAAATTAAACAATAATAAGTTTAAAAAATAAAGATTCAATATTTTAGAAAGAGATAGAAAATCATTTAGAATCATTAAAATAATATGATTAATTAAATATTTAATAATCAATAGATATATTTAAAGAAATACCAAGTATTTATTTATTTATTTATATATATATATTTTATTAGTTGAAAGAAATTATATTTTATAATTATCTGAACTTATATAATCATTTTCTAATTAAACATAAACAAATGATGAAAATTATTCAAATTAGATTCAATTTATAAAAGATATTTAAGAATTGATAGATTAGGCTAAAAAATATTAATGTTAAATTAATTTATTTGATTAAACTATTACTTTATTTTAATAGCATATTAATAAGATTGAATAAATTTAATAATAAATATTAAATTAAACTAAAAATTAAGATAATAAATCATAATTAATATAAATGTAATATTAAAATTTATTAAAAGTATTAATTGATTATATTTATATTTTTGATAATAAAAATAAATAAATAAAGAAATATTCTAATATTTCAAAATTGGAATTGGATTTAATAAAATTAACAGAAATTAATTAAAATTTAGAAATTGAAAGTAATATTATAATTAAAATAATAGAAACCAATTAATTTAATTAAATGTCTTAATAATTAGATCAAAAGCATTAAGAATATTAAAAATTATTAAAGGAATAATAAGATTAAAGTATTTTTTATTTATATTTATAGATTAAAAGTAAATTGAATAAATTAATAATAAGTTATAATCAAAAGAAAAAGAATATTTAAATTTTAAAGAAAAATTTGATTAAAATACTTAAGAAATAATAAATCTAAAAAAGTTAAATGAAGAAGATAAATTAAAAACTATTAAGACTTTAGAAGATTAAAGTATTAATTATAATATGTATATAGAAAATAAAGAAATTACAGATATGAATAAAAAAATCACTTAAAAAGAATCAGAATTGCAAACAATTTAAAGATAAATTGATATGATTAATTAAGAAAAATTATAAAAAGAAAAATAATTAAAATTAGAATTAGAAAAAGTAAATTATAATTTAAATTATTTATCATAGATTTAACAATATCCTGAAACTTTATAATTTTCTAATACTTATAAGCATGCAACTTTTTAAATAAGTGAAGGTGGTAAAGTTGCTGAGTGTAGTAGTGGTAATTGGTAATATTGTCTTTGTGAATAAGCAATTCCAAAGACTGGGAAAATAGTATTTGCATTCTAAATGATAAGTGGATAATACTTTATGGTTGGAATTGGATTCAGAGATATTATATAAAAAAATAATTATACAAATGCAGGAGTTGGGTATGGGTATATAATTAAATCATAATAGATCATATTTGATACGTAATAATGGTTATACTTTATCTCATCATAATAAAGATGTAAATGGTAAATAATTATCATTCACTTATACAACTAATGATGTAATAATAATGGAAGTAAGTATTGAACATAAGTATATTAAATGGACCAGATAGAATAATCCATTAGCAACAGTTGTAATTATCAAAACTATTATTAGTAGTTAGAAATAGATACATCCATATCATAAGAATTATATCCATGTGTGTATATTCTTTAATCTAAAGTTAAAATATTGGATAATATTCCAATTTGATAATGGACAATTAAAATGAAATATCATAAATAAGTTAAATCAACATATAATTATATTTTTCTAAAATTATAACTATGAAAGGATGATTGTGAAATTTCATTAACAAATAACTAAATTTTAAATTTTTTCTTCATTGAAGATTTTAGAATAAAATAAACATGATTATAGGATCTTTTTTAATAGAGAGATGAAACTATAAATTTATTATATATTTGATAATTCTCTTTACTAAAAAAAATAAAATTCAATAAAAGATTATTAATTTATTGAAGAAATGTTTTGCTCATTATTGCAATATTAGCAAAATATAAATTTGAAAGATATTCTTATCATTTAAATTCTATTTTAATTATGTATTGAAAACATTTCACTTTGTTAAAAGACTGCCTTGAATTAAATAGAAAGAAGTTTTTAGGATTTGAAATTTGTCCAATAAACTCAATTTTTTGTAGAAATCTTAAGTTAACTTAAGTCTCCTAATTCTCTAATGACCATATGATTCATCATTTAAAGTTGTTATTTATTCTTGCTAAAATATAAGACACTTCCTTTTTTAATCTAAATTATAATCCTATTTCATTCGAAAAAATTGTTTTTTTTAGTAAATGTTTAGATAATCTTTTGCTATTAGTTAATAAGATTGATTTTTTTTTTAAACTAGATTAAATGATGATAATATAATATTCATGTCTGCATGAAATATTTGAGGATTGGTCTTAAAATAAATTTTGAATTCTTTCTATTAATATTAGTTTCAATAATAGGCTAATTAATTTATAACTAGATTATGTTGGGAACAACTTTTTTGAAGAATCTTTATAATAAATAGTATTTGAATTAAGTAGCTGATATTTGATATTGATTAATATCAACATTTTAATAATTTTGGTTTATTATAGTAGTTAAATTTGATAGCTATATATAACTTAATTCATTCCTTGATTAAGATTAATTAAAAATAAAGTTTTTGATATGGATTTCGTTTAAAACACCTTATTTAAATAGACGAATCTACAATTTAATAAATTATAAATTATCGTTAAGGAAAATAAGAAATTTCACTTAAAATAAAATTTTTGTTCTTGGCTTAAGAGAATACAATTTTATTCAGTATAAGAAATGAAATTTCAATATTTATTAATATATTTCCAAAAATCATAAAAAATTTTAAATAAGTAAAAAATTAATGATCTTGATTAATAAAGTAAATTTCACGGATTTCGAAATACGTTTTAATTAATTGTAATCTAAATTTAGGATGATTAATAAGTCATATTTTTACTTTTATTAAATATAAATAAATTAAAGAATCTTAATGAAATTTAGTCTAGCAGTTTATCCATTTTTATATAGTTGGATAATATTTACTATTCAATATCTCCTACAGTAATAAATGATCATTTTAAAGAATAAAATCAAATATGACTAGAAAATTCATTGTTTTTCAATCAATAATTTTTAAGCTAATTATTGAAAAAATAACATAATTGATTAAATTAATTAATGTTTCGTTAATTAAAAAAATTGACAGTTTGAGAATTTTAAGATAGATGGTAAAAGTTCCAAGATAAATGATTTTTTAGAGCTTGGAAATTTGAGAGCTTCTTTAATGAAGAATTTTAGTTGAAACTTAACTTTGAATTGATGATAAACTGGATTACTTTTTCTCTAAGAGTTTGGTAATTTTAAACTAGATGCTACCAGCTATCCCATTTGGAGATAATTTAAAATTTTTTGTATGTCTAACTTATATTAATGATCTTATTGAAAAACAACAGGTCTATTTCTAAAATGGAGTTCGCTAAGAAAATATTCTAACTCCACTTGGATCAATTAATTGATGATTTATAGAGGTATAGTAAATATGCTCTCTAGAAAACTGTTTCCATATTTGGTCCATAAGTAAGCTGGATAATTGAGGAGTTTATAGAACTCGCTTAAAAATATTACTTTAAAGGTAATCAATCGGTCCAAAAGAAAAATAGATTATTTATAATATGGATTAGAGATAATTTATAGCCCTGAATTTGACACTCTGAAGTAAAGAATTAGACCTCCATAACCAATAAATATCAAAATTATCCTGATCTGATTTTGCTGAAGCATTTAAGTTAAACTAATTTGAATTTATATTTTAATAGATTACAGATAACTCATTTTAGTGAGGATCTAGAGAATCTATTTCTTTTTTCTAAAACCCAATAATTGATTTTAAGTTTTTTTGTTTGAAAAGCTCAAGAAAAATTGAAAATACTTAAGAATAAACTACTTTAAATGTTGTATTTTAACAGATTAAATTATCACTTCAAATATCATATCATTTTCTTAAAAACCCATATAAGTATTTTCTGGTTATTTTTGCATCACTACTAATAAAAAAAACGCTATTTACAAGATTGGATAGCAAACTCTATTTCATCTTCTCTCTAAGCCCCTAATATTTTATTAAATAATATGCAATCCTTGTATTAGATGAAGGAAAAGATAATTTCCAATATTATTTAGATTCTAGTAACACATAACAAAATTTAATATTAATTTAAAGTAGTTTTGGAATTGTGCCCATATTTTTTATTAAGGTTATTTTATAGATGTAATTTTTTGAACCTTCAAAATTTAAATTAATTAATTCTTATTTACGATCCTTAATTTTCAAAAATAAAAAAAGGTCTAGATTGAAAAATAAATAAATAAAGATGAATACAAAATATTCTAATTTTATAATGATGAACATCCATCAATATATAAATTACATTTAATAAACTGACATATTAATTTGAAATTTATGAAACTAAATTTAATTAATTTATTAGTTAATTAAATTATTGAAAGAATCAACTCTATTTTAAATAAAGGATAAATTCGTGAATATCTTAATATCCATAATTCTAAACTTTAAGTTATTTGGTATAGCAAGTGTATAACAACACTTTATTAACATAACAACATAATATCTATTTTATAGGTGCCTCTTACCATTCTTAATATAATCTTTAATTCTTTAAATTTTTATTTACATTAATTTAGATAATCATACTTTTGAGTCTAATAATAACATTTTGGGTTTGTGCTTATTAAATGTAATTTTATAAAGTTTTATCTAATATAAATATAAGAAATACTATCCATTTAGTTACTCTTCATAAAAAGTATTTCTGGACTGAAAAAATTATATCAGTAATTTATATAACTGATTTAAAAAATAGGAAATTTTCAATATATCAAATAGAAAATCAATTAAAATAAGTAAATTGCCATTAAATAATCAATCAAAATAGGGTCCCGACTTTTTTTCAACCTTTTCTTCAGCCTATCATAGAATAATAGTACAGTACAATCAATTCTTAATTTTTTTCAGAATAGTTAATATTCTAAAATATACAGATTTTTACTAAGCCATAAATTATTTTTAAATCCAAAATTCAAAATGAATTATCAATAATTTTCAATTTTGAAAAGCACAAACAAAAAATTAACAAAATATTCTGATATTTTATCAATAGATTAAATTACAGTTTCCAAATTCTTTTTGGTGTTTTGAACATATTCTTTTGGGATTTATCTTATTATTGAATATGTACTTTGCTAGTGAATGAATTTTCTTTTGTTGATAAATTATAGCCAATCATATAATCTCTCGTCATACAATAATTTTAGTATATGTATAGAGAATTTTCTTTTCTCTGTGTAAAATTCATTCTAAGAATAAACTTGAATTCAGAGAATGATTTAATTTTCATTTAAAAAAGAATAAATAATATTTATGTTTTGGATTTCTTTACTCTACTCTATTATATATCAAAGTATAATTCGATATTTTTCAAAGGAGAAATAATTAAAAATATATTCAATTTTAGTCTGATTTTAGCAAAGACTGTATAAATTAAAAAACCAAATTAATCAAAAAGACCGACATAAAAGTCTTTGAGTATATATTTATCCCTATAGTAATGGATGAATAAGAAACAAAAGCCTTATGTAGTTTATTTATAAAAATTACGATGAACTTCAATAATATTTTATTCTTTGAATTCATATAAATGTTAATTATTATAGAATGATTAACAAGCATGTTACATAATAATCTAATATATATTTCAAATGAGACCTTTTGGTATAGGTTTCAATCCACTGTTGAGTAATTATCATTTGGTCAAAAGATAAAAACATTAGATATACGAAGAAATGATTAAAGGTATATAGATCTTTAAATCCAAAACGAAATATATGTTTTAGAATGGATATATGAAAAACTATATATTTATGATCCTCTAAAAAAAATAAGATTTAATTTTAAAGTGTAGTTCATCATCAGGGCTCCTTTTTAGCTACCTTCAAGTTTGATATATACTTTATTATTATTGAAGATCAATAGGGGAGTAAAAGATTAAAAAAGCCAACAAGTAAAGTCTTCAGTAAAATGTCCTTCAGATAAGTAGTTTAATTTAGTAAAGTAATCCAAAATCTTAAATATGCTGATGATATAACTATAGTTACTTTTAAAAATGAGCTTCCTGAATTATAGAGAAATTATATATTGAGCTAGTTAAAGAATACAATTTAAGGTCAAATTATAAATCTAATTATATAAAAAATTAAGATAAGATAAATAAAAGCTACAACTTTTTCAAATTTTAATGATAAGGAACAATTTTTATGACAATTAAAAATGCTTATTTTGATATAGACTATATATGTGAAATATTCAATTAATTTAAGTCTTACCACTTAAACTATTATGAATACATTTTTTGAAACCAAAATACTATTATTTTGAGTTAGGTAGTCAAAATATAAGCCATATGATAAGAATAGCTGTTCTACTTTGATTTATACCTGATGATCACCTTTAAGTTTTTATTGTTGGCAATCGAGATAATGAAATTATAGATATTTGTGAAAGTATAAATTTTCTTATTAAACTGGTCCTTATAAATCTTATAGCAGGTTTAGAGATTAATTATTATTTACGTCTAAATTCATCTAAATGATAAAAATTAATGATAACCTTATGTTTAATTTAATATTCAATATTAATGAATGATTAAAATTCAATAAAATGAAACGAAATCATAAAGCTTAACTATATATGCATAAGGATTAAAACAGCCTTCTTCGCTTGAACAAACCTATTTTTTTACTTTAGTTCCAAAAATGCAGTTTGATTATTAAAGTAAGAACATACTCTAAACAAATTTCTTTTTATTTTTGATATAAAATATGTTTTAATTGAACATTATGAATAATATGATACTCCAAAAATACAATTATTTTAGAATTTATTACATTATTAAACATAAGTACCTATAATTTATTTCAAATCACGGCAATACTCGCCTACACTTCAAAAAAGAGTTTCTTGTTATGGTTCCATAAAAACAAGAAGATCTCATACTAACTTTACAATTATCATAGCATTATCCATTAGTAGCTAAATCATTGAAACAATATTTAGAATTATTATAATTGGGACTCCCTCTACAAGAAGAATAAAATTTAGAAGCTTCAAGAAATTTAATTACCTGTACGATGTGTATTATTAAACTAATTGCCGCCTACACCGTGGTATTGAGTAGTTAGTTGTGAGTTTTCAGGAAGTCATCATGTATTTCAAAGATGAATAATTCCATACCTTAAATAAAAACCTTCTTTATTAAAGAGAGGTCACCTTAAGCTCTAGCAGATCCATTAAAAAGTTCTCGACTCAATTTCAATAGAAAGAGAGTATCCATTAAGATGGCATTAACAAAGGGCAGCCCCCAAAAAGTATCTTATTTTTTCGAAAACGTGGAAAATAAAAGCTATTATGATTTTTATGCTAATATTTCATATTATTATTTAAGTAGCATCTGTTTATGCTAATCATTTATTTGAGTAAGGAGAGGCCAGACATTTCAACTATGTAAGTAATCCTACTTTAATTTACTCATCATTTGCAAAGTAATTCTCTTATTTACTTGATGTGTATATTTAGAATAGAAATTTATCTAAGACTTCTAAATTCTTTAATACCTCAACATCATTTTGACGAATTTTTTCTGCTTCATTATTTTCAGGTTCTATTGAAGGTTGTTTGGGAAAGTACAGAATTATATCATGGACTTCATTTCAACTGGTTTACATTTAAGGATGAAAGTGTCTAAGTTACAAACAACTTGGATATCAACTTTTCAAACTCTTTATAAACTCATTTTATAATAAAAATTATAAGATAAGGTTCTATATAATTTTTTAGTTATTATGCTTAAGGTTCTTAATTTAATAATTTAAATGTACAAAACTAAGTGACTATAAATTTTCCTATCTAAAAACTTAAATATTTTGGATATTATAGATCATAAATTCAATTACCAAATTGACCTAACCCTACAATAACTATAACAAAATTTAGCATCAAATTTCTTACTGTTTTATAAATTATGCTATCACAGGCAACGATCCATCTTCAAAAATTTCCTTTTAAGGTTTTCTAAGAATCACTATTTTTCTTTCCTACTTTCATAGATTTCAAAGTTTATCAAAATTTTATGGTGTGTTAAATATTATTATTAATTTAAAAAATCTCTTTTATATGATTTTTCAATAGCATTTTACCATTATTTCAAATTTGTTAAGGAGGTTATTTATTTTATTCCTTATTCATTCTCCCAGCTTTAATCAAGGCAATATTATGTTTAATTAGGAATCTCATTCACAACTATTACAATGAACTATCTCTTTCAATTCTCAAGAATAATATATATGAGTTTTATTTAAATTGCATCTAAAATAGTGCTTTATTTTGCTTTAATGATTATATTCCACTATTATAAATTTAGTTATCCTCTTCAAGACATAAGAATCATTAATAAGTGTTTAAGTAGCCTTTCTAAGTATAATTTAACCACCATTTAGAAAATCTTAATTAATAATAATCATTTTGAATTTTTAATCCATTCGAAAACAATTAATTCTTTATGTTTATTTTTCACTAATTTAGAGATTTTAGAAAGTTAACAATACCATAGATAATAAAGACTTAATAATATGCATAAAAAATTTTCTAATTTTGAAATATTGATGATATATATTGTTAAGTTTGTTGTTGTAAATTTCAATTTAAAAAAAAGACATATTTAATTATTTTTATCAAATATTAAATAATTCATATTTCTATTTTCATGATTACTCATGGTTTAGTGGATCCACTTCTTCAATATTAGATTTATTTTAAGATTAAAACTTAATCATTTATATTTTAATACATTTTTATCTTTAATAAAATTAAAAAATTTCATATTAATTCAATAGATGTCATTAAATCAATTCATAAATTTGAGAGGCTAAGTTTATGTATTAATAATTAAATAAAATAGAAATAGATCATAAAAAGTATAAAGAATGAATTATATTATCAGTCTCTTCACCCAAGTCTATCTGAGATTTCAAAGTTATTACTTTATCAGAAGAGTTCTAATTGATTCCTAAAGAAGATTTATATTTATGTATGATGGACATTAAATAGGATAATTTAAGGAAGAATATTACCAAATTTTTTAACAACTATACTAATTATTAACATTATACTTACATCTGTTGAGATATCTATGAATAATTACTTATTCATAAAATTTATAAATAATATTTTACTAATACATGTTCCTATTATTATATAAAAGTTTATGAATGAATTATAACACTTATAATATATAAATTAAAATTATTTTTTATAATCAACATATCCAGCCCCTATTGCTGCATCTACTCAAACAGGTGGCAAAGCAATAATCCCTCTAACTGAAATTGCAATTCCTTAAGCTATAGCAAATGCACTTCCTGCATCTAGCCCAACTGTAGAAAATCATATAGAGCCAATCAAGCTTGAGTCAAAACAGTGCCTGTTCCATTCAAAAACCTGTTAGATAGCTTCCCTACTTAATATTTTACCAAAAGCCAGGTTATTTTGACTTACTTATGCTTTTAATTATTCCATATATAATTAATGTTAAAAATGAAGCTTATAAAATTCAAAATTTTCACATTATTTCATCTTAATTTCAGAATTTCACATAATTTCTCACATCTTAATAATTTCTGTTGAATTCTTTTAATCATGAACAACCATAAATTAAATTATATTAATAACAAAAGCGAAACTAGAATAGACTATTTTATTCTTTATTATACTAAAATACCTTTTGGATAATTGTAAAAATGAAAAATCACTTATCATTGTGAGATACTCGAGATCAATTTAAGTTATTATGATAATAATTTATATAGTCTATTCATCAATAAAAAGGATAATGTAAAATGCTTTGGAGACTTATTCATTCAAATCATTTTGCAAAACAATTAATATTACATAGATTTTTTGGTCATATATAAGGATTAGCATAACATATATATATATAATTACTAAAAAAACACCGTTCTAATAGTTTATTCCAATCATGATACTTTTACAAGGATTAAGTTATCAAAGACTTTTAGAGATTAATGTGTCTAATTTTTATGAATAATCAATATAGAAATTTAGTGGGAAATGAAAAATATAGTTTATAATGAATTAAATAGTTTAATTAATCCATATTCTAAAACTCATTAAAATTGTAATCCAAAACCATGAGAATATTTTAAATGACGTAAGAGATTTCTTTTCAATATAATATAAAATAAAATTAAGTTAACTTTTACATAAAAATGGACAGCAAAATTCATGAGCTTTAAATTATATAGATATTATTGAATTAATAGTTGTGACTGAATTACTGCAAATTCCAAAAAAATGAATACCCAAATCAAAGCCAATAAATGATTTAAAGTGATTTCGCTCATAAATTGTATTTTAATCAAGAAAATGCTTAGTTTTAGAATTTTATTTAAACAGTTTTTATTTAAACAGTTTTTATTTAAATTATTCATTTCAAAGCATGAAACATAATTATAGCATAGATGTGAGAAAAAGGTTTTCAAGTATCAAATATTATATAAACAGGATGCTATTTTAATATAAGAAAGGATTGAATATTTGATTTATTAGGTGATTCTTAAGTTTTAGAGACTGATTAAAAGATAAATATTCTAAAACTTGTAATTATTGATCGGGAAGGATTAGAGTACTAATAGTTCCAAAAGAATATATATCCCATCATTATTCTGAAGTAAATCTAATTAGATAAAACCTTTCTTTAAACACATTAAAGATCATATTAAATTAGTTTTTGATAAATTTTATTTAATAATGTATAATGGAAATAATTAAATAAGAGAAATTTAAAATATTATATCAATTTATTAAATTGAGAGGATTTTGAAGTAAGTATTTATATTTCAATTAGTTTGTATAGAATTATTTTATATTTTTGATAATTTTAATATCTCAAAAAATAGAAATAAATCCTAGAATTTCTTGAATAAAATATTTAAGAAATATTGCTGTCATTATGGAAGAGATTAGAGAATTGATTGGATAAATATTCAAAAATGAGTAAATAAACTAATAATTCTTATCACTGCAATTAAAAAATTTATTCAAATTATTGTCTTAATTCAAAAAAATATAACTGTTTTATTAAAAAGGGCTTTAATTTGTCTTTAATTTATACATTTTATTCAGATATTTATATTTAAAAAGTTTCATAATGGATTTATTGAATCTGAAAAATTTGAAAAAATTATCAAATATAAAATTTTGAATAAATTAATAAAATAAAAGGATATTGTATCTATTTAAAAGAAATAAAACAGTTCTTAGAAATTTGGATGTGTGTCAACTGAATTCAACTTAATAATCTAAAATCTAATTCTATCTCTCAATGAATTAATATATTTATTTGATAAATAAATAATTATTCTATACTTCTATTATAAATAGTAAAATAATTATATCGAATCTACCACTATTCCTTTCCAATACTTAATTACAGGAAAACTATCATAGCGTCATGAGTTCTTGTAGTCTTTACAATATTAACAGTTCGAAAATAGCTCTTATTCTTTGTTTAGATGGATTTCATAAATTTTCTTTAAAATTCTATTTTTAAATTTGAATTTTCAATATTGTAATAATGATTCAAAAAGTTAGTCCTTAAGGAATATTTTTGTTACTTTTTCAGAAAAAACTCTTCAATTTAAAACACACTGGGTAAAATTTTAATAGTAAAATATTACTTTATTAATAAATAATTGATATTTTTATAGAGTTTAATTTAAAAGACATTTAAGGTAAGAATATAAATGAATTAAATTTTCTAAAATCAAGGCTATTTTTGATTATTCGAATTTTATTGACCTAAAATTTTAATCCTAATAATAAATAATTCTGAATGTTGATATTCATAAGTGACTTCATGGATTTGTTCAGATTTCTTGAAAATGATTAATAATTTAATTTATTACAGAGATGAAAATCTTATGTCTAAGGTAATAATAATTTTGATTGATAAATTCATTAATAGTTTATTTTATAAAGAAAAGGAAATCACAAATTCTAAAAATTTATTTATTTTTTTTTATAGAAATTCTTATAAATTACATATATTTTAATTAAGTTCTTTATTGTTAAAATTTCGTTTATAATATTATAATCTTTTGAAAACTTAATTCATTTTGAAATATAAGTTGTAAACGCAAGTTTGGATTTATTTTAGAGTATTAAATTTACACTTATGGATAACTGATAGAAGATGATTATATAATAAGAATCATATAACTTAATCTTTGCAACTTAATTAATTTAGAATATTCCATTTTTTTATTGGATAATCGTATGATTTAAAAATTTTTAAGAATTATTTTGAATCTTAGACGAATCTTATGCCATATCAAAGGTTAAAATTTTTGCTTAGTTCTTATGCTCCTATAATATCTCACTTAAGGATGGACAAGTTTAGATTTCAACCTGTGAAATTTCTAGACTATATTTTGAAACTGAAAATATGATCTTCAAGAAAAGTAAATATATAGCATCTTCAATAAATTTTAAATGAATATGTGAGTATATGAATGTAGAATTAAAAACTAAAAAACTATGAGATTTTTAGACTGATTAGTAAATAGATTTAAAATAGAAATTAACAATCAAGCTTAATTTATATTACGTAAGGATGATTATTTAAGGTGTATGATCTGCATGTAGTATTATACAAAAGTGTTGATATTAGTCTGTTGAATTTTAGTGTTTGCATAACTTTACTCTGTGCTCTTTTTATAAAGGACTGTATAGAGGAAGGAGAATTATGTGAAGTAAATATAAGAGATTATGAGGAACAGAATTTCAAAAAAAAATGACGAAATTTATGAAAATTAATTTGTTCTAAAGATACTTTGATAAATAAAGCTACAGAAAAAATTCATTTGAAGTTTATTTTTTAATTCTATTAGTAGATTATCAAAATCATAATATTAATAGATAAATACAATACAATATAATCATTTTGGTTTGATCAAATTAAGAAATCTTTATATATTACCTCTAAATTATTGAGATTTACAATCTAACTTCAGAATCGAATTAATTTGCTTGTGAAAGTATACAATTATATCATCACATCTTCTTAAGATTTTATACAAAATTAAATACCATCTTCATTTAGTGTTTCAGCTTATACTAAGAATAATTTTCTTGGAGAAACTTTATGAGAACAAAAATTTAAAAATTCAAAATTTTTAAAGTATTATGTAAAAGCTAAATTTTGTAGTTTTTGATATTCAATTTTTTTTAATTAGTTGCATCTTTATCATTAATTTTTATTATATATCCTTCCAAAATTATGTATAATTCATAAGTAAATCCCTAATATATGCTTTAATTATTTGCCATATTTGCAATTTCATATGGACCAATTTAATTTAAAAAGTTAACGATTTATTTATTATATTGTATCTTCAAACATGTTTAAATACGATATAAGAATAAATTTATTTTTAATTATAGACCTATTCCATTAAATATGATTACATATCATAGATAAGATTATCTAAATACTTTAACGTAACTCTCTAAAGATTAATTATATTTGATTATTTATTTCATGAAATAAAACCAAAGAATGAATAGTTGCTAAAGTTTAATTAATTAATTTTATCTAATGCAAAAAATTTGTACCATAAACCAGATACAAATTATTCATATGATAGTACACATATTAAAATGAAGAGTTTAATAATTTCATGTTTTTTTTGAAAAAGAGGCATAGAAAAACTTAATTTTCTTTAGTAAGAGCAATTATAACTAAATCATATATGTATAAATTA